AAACCCGCCCCGTTAGCCTAGGGACCCCACGCTCCCACGTACGCCCTGACCCGCCTGCCTTGCCGTCCACATCCCCTTTCCCAGCCTAGTTCCTAGTCTGGCTCCTCCCTGCAATTAAACTCTCTCCTTCCCCTTCCCTCCCACCCTGGGCCCTGGCCGGCCACTGGAGTGCAAACGCCACCTACCCACCTCTGCCTGACGTGCTCCCACCTCCCCAACCGGGATCAACCCTGCACTTGATCCTCCTCCCTCCAAAAATGCAGACCTGCCAAAGGCCTCTGCCACCCTCCAAGGCAGGCTGGCCCGCTCCAGTGGCGCTGGCTGGCTCATGGCCCCATTGGACAGGCTTCCCTGCCCTGTCATTCTCCGTCCACCATCTGTCTACACTGCTGAGCCCTTATTTTCATTCCATGTTTTGTTTTGTTTTTATTGATTTCAGAGAGGAAGGGAGAGGGTGAGAAACATCAATGATGAGAGAAAATCATTGATCAGCTGCCTCCTGCACGCCCCCTACTGGGGATTGAGCCCACAACCCCGGGCATGTGCCCTGACTGGGAATTGAATATGACCTCCTGGTTCATGGGTCAACGTTCAACCACTGAGCCACAGCAGCCGGGCGTCTTAAATTTTTTGAACCAGTAATATGTTCTCATGATCTAGACATCCTGGGATATAATCTTATAGACACTAGCAGACACTCTTTCACATAAGAACGAAGACTTTGCCCTAACCGGTTTGGCTCAGTGGATAGAGCGTCGGCCTGCGGACTGAAGGGTCCCAGGTTCGATTCAGGTCAAGGGCATGTACCTTGGTTGCCGGCACATCCCCAGTAGGAGGTGTGCAGGAGGCAGCTGATCGATGTTACTCTCTCATCAATGTTTCTAACTCTCTATCCCTCTCCCTTCCTCTCTGTAAAACATCAATAAAATATATTATATAAAAAAGAAAGAACGAAGACTTTCCTGGAGATGATAGTTTAGGTCACTTTAATTCATCCTTCCCTTGGGCTGGAGCCACTGGCTGACCCTCCCTGGAGCACTGACCCTATCCTCATTGCTTTTCCTGGGGGTCACTGCTCTTTCTCTTGCTGAACCAGCAGGAGCTCTTTATCTGTGAGGTTACAGATAAGCCCTACATGGATCTCCATGTGTCTGTTGTTTTCTGGTTTTGCCTGTCCGTCCTTTAGACAAGCAGAAGGAGGTTCCTGGCTTCTGGACTCTTCTAATACATAGTTCAATTGCCAGATGACAGTGTCCCATTTCTGGCTCTGGTCGGAGTTCACAGTTTCCACTTCTGCATCAACATCTTTGAACCACTGGAGTTTGCCCTGGGAACTGACGCGAGATACCCTCCAGATGGTTACCAAGGGTCCCACCGTGTTCCAACAGTCCTCCCTTCCCTCCTGGTGACCTCAAGGGAGATGCTTTGGCTGTGTTCCCCCACAGTTTTAATTCCTGTACTTTTATAGTACTTTAAAAATATATACTTTTATTGATTTCAGAGAGGAAGAGACAGGGAGAGAAACATCAATGATGAGAGAGAATCATTGATTGGCTGCCTCCTGCACGCCCCCTACTGGGGATCGAGCCCACAACCCAGGCATGTGCCCTTGACTAGAATCGAATCTGGGATCCTTCAGTCTGCAGGCCGACGCTCTATCCACTGAGCCAAACTGGGTAGGGCTATCGTACGTTTAATGCCTTTAGGGATCTTACCTTTGCCCATGCCTTTTTATCAGAGCTTTCCTGGTGATTCTGGACTGTTTTATGAACAAGTGCCCCTCCTTCATCAAAAACAATGTTAGTATTTTTTGGGGGGAGGGGTCGTTGGCCTCTGTAGATATCAGAGTTAGACTTTCCAGTTTCAGTGCACCGCTGTGGGGAAAGAGTCAGGCGAGGGAGGAAGGTGGGGGGTGAGGGCAGCCAGTAACTGAGATGGATTCTGGATGTTTCTTGGAGAATAAGGAGGAAAAAGGGGAGCGAGGGGGCTTCCTGGAGTTTCCCAAGGTTTTCACCCTGAGTTGCCATCACCCCTGATGGACAAATGCTTGGGAGAGGTAGTGGGCCTGGGCGTTGATTTGGGATATTTTAGAAGAATGACATTTCGCTTAGAAGCACTTCGAGCCAGCAGAGAGCCTTGGAGGTTGGGGTGGATTAAGTGAAAGGGCCCTAGGGGAGGGGGCGGCTGGTGGGGAGGCCAGAGACCAAGCAGGAAGCACCAAGAGGTGGAGTGAAGAACATCAAGAATGGGGAGCAGAGGAGCATTTGATAACTTGCTTCCTGGCATATGGCATCAGTTTGGCTCAAATAGACTCATAAATTTTTTTTTTTTTCCAAAAGTGCAGAGCAGAGCGAAGATGCCACCACCCCCATCAAGCTTTCCTTCCTCCTGTGGTTGTAAAACTGAAGCCGGGTCCTTGGATCGAGCGTCAGCGTCAGCACGAGCCCTGAATTCCTTCCCCTCCTCTTATTTGGGCTGTGTGTTGGCCAAAGAGACACAAGAAGAGATGGATTTACCTAAGCCTTCCCTCCAAGCCCACCAAAGGGGTCAGGCGACCGCAGGAGAAAACCTGATCCTGCAGTGCCGGAAGCCCAGGCCTGTGATTGAATCTAACAAGTCTGCTCTTCTGAAGAAAGGAACTTCAACACCCACACAGCTCCCGATCTAGGAGG